AAATTTTTTTTTTTTTTTTTTTTTTTTTGGTACGGGGGATCGCACTCGGGACCTTGTGCTTTTGAAGCAGACAGTAGAAGTGATGTCAAAGCTTCTAAGGTGCACTTGCACCTGGAGAGAGTATCAGAAGCTCACGTACTTCAGAAGCACAGCTGTACATTTTTACTAGAGATTTCTGTTTCCTTTTCTGAAGAACCAGATATACTATTATGTTATACTGGACGATTGCCCAAGTTGTACACACTGTCCTCTTCATACTTAAAGAATTTTGAGTCAAAAATAGTGAATTGGAAGGTGAAGTCACGTTTTCCAGGGTGTAGATTATGCTGTTTGCAATCTTGCCATGGTCAAAGAAAAGTTTCAATTTGTGTAGTTTTTTTAAAGCTATTTATAACAGCCCAAATATTTAAAGATTTTTGTTATTGGTTTGAAGGGACTGTGTTTGGTTATATTTTGTTTTCATTGTGGTGATCCTTTTAAATTCAGTAGCTTATTTTTAAAGACCTCATTACAGCTTAAATTATCTAACATATATTGATTTTTAGCTTCTGGAATATCTTGTATCTGTTGAAACCTTGATCCCTTGCCACACTGGGGTGGGGGTAAGGGTGAAATTTTTACTTCCTTAGGACTAGCAAAATATTTGTTCTCTTGACTTGGATTTACCCTCATTGCTATATAGTGGTTTTATATTAAAAGCAGATACCAAAGAAGAAGAAGATGCTCCTGGGTCACAGCCAAAGGGGCTTCCGAAGACAGACCTGTATCATCTTCAAAAGGTCAGGTCTCTTTTCTTTTCCTTTCAATTACATTGTATTTTGCTCTTCCCTTTTCTCAGTTTGTTGTCTAGATTCTTTTTAAAACACAACCAAGGACAGTGCAGAGTTTGTAATTCACTTCTAAATTGAGCATCCTGCTTATCCCACTGCCATCCTCATCTCTGATGTACACAGTCTGCAATTCACTGGACACTATAGGTAGAAACTGTTCTGTAGGCTCAGAAAAACAACTGGCACCAAGGGAAAATGGGAACATGGATGCCAAAAAAATTTTTTATCATTTATCCAATGTATTTGTTTTTATGTGTGAGCAAACAAATTCAAAAGAGCCTAAATCATTAATTTTAGATACTGATTTGTTTAAATGCATATTACAGTAAAGAGCAGGAATTAAGCCGTAGTATATCCAGTGTATTCTTTTTCTAATAGTTCTAACTTTAGGATCTTGATTTTCAAAATGAAGAACCTTCTTTGTAACATTATACCAAATTGTAATGTAGCAGAAAATTTCAACTGAACTGAAACAAAACACATGGAATTATGGCAAAAAGGCAAGGTGGTAGTAGCTAGGGTTGTCCTCTCCTCCCCCCCCTCCTCCCCCTCCTCCTCCTCCTCCTCCTTCTCCTTCCCTTCATCCTCCCTTTTCTACCTCTTCTTTTTCTTCCTTTTCTTAAGTGAGCCAATGGATTATGAATAGTGAGTACTCTGTCATGTAAGTTAATATGAAATAAACTGTCATTTCCCTCTCTCCCAGAAATTTCACTCAATATATTTCAAGCAGAACATCTAGGAAGAGAGATTCTTGCCAGACCTCCTTAGAAATAAACAACCCCGTTTTGATCTGGTTCTTTCTCTGCACATCCTGCCTGACAGAAAGGGCATCAGCCACCTTCACCTAAGTAACAGTTACCTGTAAAAGTTTTTCTATCAGAATCATCAGGAAAGGTGTGTTCTTTCACCCATAGTCCTTACTGGAAATGAAAGAGTTAAGAAGATCAAGTAAGAAGCAAACCAAGTTTGAATTACTCAGAGAAAAAGCTGTGAATTTCATTGACTCTTTGGTAAGGTGAGTCTTGCTATTAGAGCTAAAAGTCATACTTTTTTCCCAAATAACATTGCTGTAATGGCTGTTAACAGCCAATCTAGTCATTTTCTCCTAGCCTTTTAGCTTCTTTCATCACAGCTTATAATTAATTTCCTTTCTAGTTTTTTTAAGATGTCTAATCAGAAACTTTTTTTTTACTATCTGTTCAAAAATACAGTTTTAAGAGCCAGACATGGTGGTACACACCTGTAGTTGCAGCACTGGCAAGTCTGAGGCAGAAAGATTGTGAGTTTGAGGCCAGCTTGGTCCACATAGTGAGACCCTGTCTTAAAAAAGGAAAAAGAATGGAATGAAAGGAAATGGGGCAAGAGGCAGTTTGAAATCTGATCCAGTCTATTAGGCTAGGTGAGGAGATTTAGAGAGTTAGAAATGTTTTTCCCCTCTCTAATAGCAAAGTGATTGATTATATTATATTTTTATCATTGCTTGCCTTGTAGGAATTAATGCTGAATCTTAGCCAAACTCAGAAAACACAGCCATATTTTTCTATTTTGTCCTGAGCAAAGAACTTTTAATTTTAAAGAATATGAGTATGGGCCGGGGAATAAGCTCAGTGGTGCTGCTGCCTACCTAGCAAGCACAAGGTCCTGAGTTCAGTCCCCGTTATGAAACAAAAACAAAAAAAGAATTTGAGTGCAACTCATTATAAACACTAAATTTATGTTGAGGCAGGCATCTACTCAGTAAATGTAGAAGGCTTATTCTAGTCTTGCCAGTAGTTAAAAAAATAATTCCTTTTTGGGAAACCTAAATCATCCTGAATCATGGAATCGTTTATAAGCCAAAACTAGTTTTATATGACTGTGAAATCACCCGTCTAAACTATCTTTCAGGAATTTAGGCCATGCTACAGGAAAAAAAAATGACAAGTATACAAAGTAAAGTGATTAAATAGTTTAAAAAGTAGGGAAACAAAATGTGTATCATTACTTACTATCTTTTAATGGTAGTTCAAACCCAACAGCAAGAAAGGCACTGAACAGAATAACATAATGAAAAAATGGCAGTTTGAATATTGAAAATAAAGAACGGTTTTCTAACAAATAACATGACTTTCCTCAAAGTAAAAAGTTCCATTTTTTAGGACAATGTGGGGGAAAAATAATTGTTCATTTTATTGAGAAGAAAGTATTAATGCTATGAAATGGGGAAATAATCAGCCAAGTACAATAAGAAGGTTAAAAACAGAACTATATCATAACAAAATGGTGCACTCCAGTATTAAATTGACCTACACGTCAAAAATTACATTTTAGAACTGACAGAGTTAATCTTGTCCTACAAGGCTTTTCTTGTTCTTGCAACTTCTAGCCCTACACTCCTGACTTTTCGTTTTTGTCGAGTTGTAACTAAAAATAATTTTGCCAAGTGATTTAGCATCATTGGTAAGCCAAATATTAGGTTCCTGAGTTCATGTAACTCTCAAATTGTAGGTTCTGAAATCACATCAACCATTTTGCTTTAAAGATCTTTGACTTACTATATCTGACTTTTGAACCTTTTTGAGCAATTATTGAAACAATGCTGAGCATGATTGAAATGAATTCTGTTATGAAACCACAAAATCTTGCATACTAGCATTTACTATCTACCAAGATTATCTGTCCCAGGAAGTAAGAGATTAGAATTGTAGCATGATAAAGCTAAAAGGAACCTGGGGACTCTGTGGCAGCTAAAACCCAGAGAGGTTATGAGTCTGCCAGTGTCACAAGTTCCAGTCTCCTAATAGTCATCAGAAGTTCTCCATTTCTGCATACTTCCCTGAAGGCCTATAGTACAGATATGAACAGACTTGAAGTTCTAGAGAAAAGAGTTCTTTTAAAAAATAAGTATCAGCAGTAGACTTTGGTAGTCAGTGTTCACAACATATCATGAACAGCTTTTGGCAAAAACACTGGCAATCAAGAATAAGTTGCCAAATCTTAAGTGCCAAGAAAAAGTTACCGCATGCTAAGTCACTGTTTTTACCAGAGTTAAGATTCAACTTCATATACTTTATTGATAGGCATCCTACCATTTCCCTAGAGCCATTTATTTAGGGGAAGGCCTATCATTTGTTGTAAACTGATCTAAATCCAAAATGAGCATTACACGGTGCTGTGGTGCCAGATTCATTGCTTATTTTTTCTCACAGCAGATAAGTTGCAGAAGTATATTTTTATGCCCATCTCTATCTGTACAGTTGGACAAAAATTAGGGTGTATGATGCTGTTTTGTTGCTGTTTTTCAACACATGTAATCCAGTGGATACAATAAAGGCAGATACTTTATATGCCTCTGATATTCTTTAAGGATACCAAAAAGGGCCTTTTGCCTTGGGATTTGCCTGAATTTCTAAACATTAAATGTAAAGACATTAAAAAGGTATAGGAAAGAATGCAGATGTGTGGCAGTAGTTTCTGTAATTGATTCTATCTGATTGCCTTGTTAGATTTCTAAATTTTATTAACAGTAGGAACTTCAGCAAAGTATTTTAATGATAGTCATGATAGTGATTGGGAAGTAACCACACCAGGTTGGTATAGGAAGAGTTTATGGTCAAAAATTACAAACTGGTAGCCACTCAGCCGGGCAGCCAGCATCACAGACGTAATTTCCTCTGACTATAGCCAAATAATCTGATTCTTAAGTAACTGAGATGATAGTAGAATGTTGGCCCTCGTTGAGTATCTTTGAAAATGGCTTTTATTCCAGCAGACTCTGGAGGAGTACCATCCAGAAGGAGATTGAATAGTCAGTAGCTCTTGAGGTAGCAAGAGTGAGATAGTGAGGAGTGATGTGCCTATTTTTATTTCCTCTCTTCTTCAAAGCCACTGACCACATTAGGCTAGAGACATTTTCTAGGAAGTGGTACGCTGTCCAAAAAGGAGAGAAAGGCAAGACACCCGGAAAAAAGGTCTAATGTCTCTGCTGACAGAAGTAGCTACTTTTCTTTGCCTATACTAATAGGAAAATAGCTAATACAATCTATCATGTAGCTTACATATATACTTTTAGCTCATGACTGGACTAAGCCCTGGGAATCTGCTTTTGGAGGCATGTGAGTTAACTATTTTAATCCACTTTGTAATTTATAGCTGTCTTTGGATTGTATGTGCAGCCAGAGCCTCCCCCTTCCAGTTGGCCCCCTCCAGGCTACCAAAGAGTGATTTCACTGTCGTGGCACAGACCAGCTGGTGGGCATATTATACATTCAAAATGAACTTAATGCATTATTTTCTAAGTTTGGATTTCACCAAAATTGGTTTGCCATTTAGCATATAGGTGAAAAATAGAGAATTCCAAATGATTCTGGGTTTTTTTTTTTTTTCCTAATTGAAATTTTATTAATGAAGGGCTGGGCATGGTGGTGCATGCTTATAATCCCAGCATTCAGGAGATAGAGGCAAGAGGATCACTGTGAGTTTGAGGCCAGCCTGGGTTGCAAAGTGAGTTCAAGTCCAGGCTGAACAACATAGCAAGACCCTGTCTCAAAATAGCAAAAAAGAGAGAGGAAGAAAACAAAACCCTTACTAGTGGACAATTAACTTTTCAATACTCTGAAACTAAAATTTAGTCTTTGCTGCCTTCAGAAGTAAAAAAATAAATCCAGCACATAAAGAATTTCTGAGGTATCATTTCCATGAAAGGTATCAGTTATAACATTTGTGTGTGTGATCCAGAAAGTATTCCCTGAACTATAAATTCCAGGCCTGTACCCTATATTTAACACCAAGAAAGAAGTGAATGTTTGCTATGAAGAGAATATGGATATGTTTTCTAAAGAATTTACTTTAAGAAACTTGTATTTTAAGAAATTATACTTTTAAGATTTTAAGCTAATATGTAATACACACACACACACACACACACACACACACATTTATCCCTAAAGGTTTAATTCAGACCCAAAGAACTCAGAAGTTTCTTGTAAAGAATCTAGAGGAAATTTTTAAAAACAATGGCTGAGTATGGTGGCACATGCCTGTAATCTCAACCTTCTGCGAGGCTGAGGCAGGATTGGCAGTTCAAGCCCATGGTGGACAACTTAGCCAGACTCCCATCTCAAAATAAAAAATACAAAAAGGACTAGAGATGTAGCTCAGTGCAAAGACCCTAGGTTTAATCCTCAATAGTGCAAAAATAATAACAGTAACAATAATAATGTATGGATAAAGTACATTTCTGAGTTACACTGTACTGGATCCACTATTTGGCTTTTATTTCTTTTGCTTATCAAGTTTGCGTTCTGAGTAAAGTGTTCAGCCCTACAAAGAGGTTTGATAAAACAGTTATACTGCAAATAAACCTGTCATTGTCTAAATGCTGCTACCTGACTTTGGCTACTTCAGAGAATACCTTCTGCCTCCTGAAACGCAGCCTCTGCATGAAGTGGTGTACTTCAGTGCTGCCCACACTCTCCGGGAACACTTAAATGCTGCTCCACGAATCGCCCTCCACACTGCACTCAACAATCCTTATTATTATCTAAAGGTAAGAAGCAAATGTAGTTCTCTGAGTTTAGCTCAGGCTCCAGCTTCATTGTCACAAAAATGTTATTTTGCACTTATGTTTTAATGAGCAAAAAGGTGAAAACTTAGGATTTGCACCTCATACATATCTTATAAAAACTCTTTAGAGGGAGTTTCTAACCTACTGAAGTAGTCAATTGATGTTGCCAATTTTTGACCATGTGAAACTGTCTTTGCCTTTCATTTAATAAAACTAGGTCATAAGCAGAAGCCTAGATTATAATGCTATTTAATTTTATGAAAATAAAGGAAATGTTTCCTACAGACATAGCAACAGAAAATGGTCGAGCAATGTGGCCTAATGAAATTACTTTAAGATTCAAATGATTGTTTCTAATAGAAAAAAAAATACTTATGGATGTCACCTTGGATCTTAAACCAAAGAAAATGTGTCCTGAGAGTATGTGCAGAGCTGACTGTAGGAAATGGCTGGCAATCTGCCATGAAAATGCCTGGGGCAGCAGAGCCACTTGCCTAAAATCTAGAGACAGCTACCGGTCACGACAAGCTCTTTCTGTAAAGGAGATTAAGACAGTATAATGTTTTTAAAACTAGCGTTCTTGTGACTAGGTAATATTAGCACTGTTAAAACATTCAGGATGCTATATGAATGTATGGGAAATAATTTGGGAGGAGTTGTAAGTTATCAGTTCAGTTAAGTTCCTAGAGGTAACTTCCCACAAAGATACTTAAGAAGTGGCTCCCTGAAACCTATGGTGAACAGCCCAACTTACTGGTTTTCCATTATAGAATGGCACACAAACCATGCTCAGCACTTTAAGAGAGTACTGAGTACAAAGTCAGTGGTCTTTAATTATGAGTAATAGCTTGAATTATTTCATATTTTTAAAAAGTTATTTTCAATATATCAATCACAAACCCCTCACATTATCTTTCTTCTGGCTAATGGTAGATCACAGAAAAACTCGTAGGATTTTGGCAGTCTTTGGGAAGATACAATGTCTTATGCAGGTTTTATATGTGAGACTTTGTGTTTCTTAATAAGAACCGTGAATTTCGAATAGGTTGAAAAAACACTGATAGTTTCTATAGGGTTTAAGATCTGCAATGTTGACAATATAGTCTGAGAGACAATATATGCCCTTAATAGTGTATGTCAGTATTTACAATGTAATAATTAGGGCCGGGAAATTAGGTCAGTGGTGTCGCCACCTGCCTCACCAGCACAAGGTCCCAAGTTCGATACCCGGTACAAAAACAAAACAAAAAATAGCAGTACAATGTAGTAATTGCTAGAATTTGGCTAATGATAAATATTGGAAGTACCATTTTATTAACTGTTTCTAAAGAATTCTGTAAACTTTATGGCAGTCAGAAATGCATTATGGTTTAAGTAAATAATTCATGATTGGGGCCAGGGATTTAGCTCAGTAGTGCCACGTCTCCCTTGAGTACCCCCCAAAAAAAATCATGATTAAAATGAAAATTTTGCTTGTTTTCTGATCTTAAATTTTTCTGCTGACAAGGCATGAAAGGGTTTTTTTTTTTTTTTTGGCATTAGAGGAATTTGGATTAAGATCTAAACCCTAAATAAGAATTTAATAAAGGAAATTAAAATTCATTTACTAGTTTACTAAATTTAGAGGGGTTCACTAATGTCTGATTTTGTTCCTAATCATTTCTAGTACTGTTATTTTTTAGAATGAAGCACTAAAAAGTGAAGAGGGCTGCATTCCAAATATTGCCCCTGACATCTGCATAGCATATAAACTGCACCTGGAGTGTAGTAGGCTGATCAACCTTGTGGACTGGTCAGAGGTAGGTCAAAGAGAAAAATGCAAGCTGTATATTTATTTATCTGAGCATCCATGATAACTGTCTTGGAGTATTTTTATACTTTTTATATTTTGAAATAAACTTTTATTTTTAATAGCTTATCTATTATTGTAAAAGCATAAATTGCATCATACTTCAAAACTTCCTTAGAAAGTAGCACTCAACAATCCTCTCAATTTCCTGTTCTTTGATCCTGCATTCTTCAAGCCACTTCTGTGTTCATACCAGGTCAAAACTTAAATATATGATCTAACCTAATACTTAGCATTAAACAAATTTTTAAACTTTCAGTCAGTCCTGTGGTATTCCACAGTCAGTTATATTAGTAACTACTGTTTCCCTTCTTACATAAAAGAAAAAAGTTGGAATGACTAACATATTTAGCAATCAGGAAATACAAGGAATACTTGGCAAGGCAATGACCAGCTGTTGTTATTCTTTAAAATAAATATCTGTATTCTTTTGCCCATCAGAATAGTGTTACAAAGATCTTAATTCTGTTGAAGGCCCTGTTTGACAGATACCATGATTGAAAAGAAAAGTACGCATTCTGTGGGGGTAGGGAGTAAAAGGTTCAGGGCTTTCTTTGCTTTTTAACTTGGACTAGCTTTGTTTCTCCTTTTCTTTGCATACTTCTTAGTTTTCTGAAACAAGATTATTGGGGAACCATGACATTTTTAAATGATCATCATTGTTAAGGATTTGATTTGAAAAAAAGAAATGTGCCAGCCATCAGCCACAGCAGTGTTAAACCTGCCTTCAGTATACAACCATCAAAAGGAGTATAGTAAAAGATGTTTGGCAATTGTGAGATTTTATTTTCTCCTGTCTTGTATTCCCGAAAGGCTTTTGCAACAGTTGTGACAGCTGCTGAAAAAATGGATGCAAATTCTACTGCCTCAGAAGAAATGAATGAAATAATACAGTATCCTTTTAAAATCAGTTCCACAATGTCCAAGTACAGAGTATAAGTTTATAGTTTCTCAGGCTCAAGATTTAGCACAGTTGTAGAGCATCTGTTTAACAGGCATCAGACCCAGGGTTCAATCCCTAGCACTAAAAATAGGAGACCATTTTTGTGAGGAAAATGTGTAATCCCTTTATGCTTAACCAGATCTACATTAGAGATTTATAAAAACAAGTTAATATTAACCGTATCATCCCAGATCTTAAATTTCTAATATTCTGAATTGGATCTAAAGGGAGATCAAATATAAAATATTTGGCCTCAGATTGTTACCAAGATGATATTCCAAAATTTACCAAAAGTGAAACTGTCAATATTGAATTCCGTTTTTTCTAATGTATTTTAGAAGCTGAGATTTAGAGCATTTTTTGTACTGTGAAAAATTGGATTTAGGTGTTAAGTACTTTTTCACTCATGTGTTACTGACAGTGGATTCTAATTACACTTAATGTTTCCCAGTAAGGTTTATAGTTAAAGGAGTATATATTTCAACTTCAATTTACCAATAAATAATCTTTTTGCAAAAAATATAGTGCAGCCAATTTCCTTAACGAGAGTGTCTAGTGCTCGGTTTATTAGAGCTGTTTCTGAACTAGAACTTCTAGGATTTATAAAGCCTACCAAACAGAAGACTGACCATGTGGCAAGGCTAACGTGGGGAGGCTGCTAAAAAGCAAATAGTGCAGCCACAAGTGTCACATTTGGCTTAAGAGAAAAATGAGACCAGTCATATTTATATGCCACTAGAGGAGACTCTTCGTGAGAAAAATGTGTAATCCCTTTATGATGTTTAACCAGAAAGTGCACAGCTAACCCCAAACAGGTGTATCTTTTAAACTCTGGAGTAGTTTAGAATCCAACAAATAACATACTTACATTATAATTAAAACCTCTCCTACATTAGCATTGTACTTTTCACAGTCATTAAGAGTAAATCTTCTTGAACATATAAATATAATTAAGTTTCTTCATCCAGGAATATAAACTATTTGCACTGGATAGCAGTACTCATTCCTCTGCCCTTAATTTTTTTTAGTGGCATTTGTAATTTAGTACCTCAAGTAACATGAGTATCCTACAGATTTCTTTTTCCCAGTGACTACTAGACTGCTTCTGCCTCCCCATTTCCTTTAGTCTTAAAACTTGCAAGGTTCCAAGGTGATTGGCTTTACACTTAAAGATACTAAATACTGTACTTCTGGATGACCCTCATGGAGTCTTACTGGCAGTAAAAATAAATGTGTTATATGAAATGAGTCCATGATTTACCTGTATAATAATTACCTCAATGTATTTTCTCAGTCCGATGTGCCCTTAACCATGTTTATTTTTTGTACAATGGTTGCTAAAAATCCAGAATATGCACATAATTTTATGGATTTTTTTCCATCTTTTGCCGATTTAAGTAAGGCAGTCAGCCACAGGAAAGGTTTTCCTATACTGCATGTTAATGAAGATACTATCAGTATCTACAACATGTTTTCTTCCAGCTTTCAACTACAAGCAGTATATGAAATTGTTCAGAAACCATATCTTTAAACAGTACTTATACAGCAAGGGGCTTACAGTATACAGGACAGAGAAACTGGCCTCCCAAAAACCAGCAGATTTTCAACTCAGGCACAGATTCCCTGAGTTGAGCAAGTAGTCCTGCTTTATTTTCTTTTACTGGGTACTTAGCAGAACCATGTTGATTTCCCCCTTAAAGATGGAAACAAAAGCTTGATAGAAACTGCCTTAATTTCATAGTGAACACCCAAAAGAGCTAGGAATGAAAACATGAAGACAATCTGTGATGATTATCAGTAGAGCCTATGAAATGGCAATTCAATTGTTTCAGTTCTTTAATCCAAGAAAACTGACAACCTCAACCAGAATTTATAAATGGGGTATTTTTATTCACTTAATCATCTTAATGAAATATTGATCTGAAAACTGAATTAATTTCATTCAAAAAATACTGTGTGCTAGGCACTATTCTAGGCACCTGTGGTACTTCAGTGAACAGAGACATTTGCTTTCATTGTAGTCTAGCAGAAGATAATTAAGATTATAGAAAAGAAACAGAGTAAGGAGAAGCAGGATGTCACTGCAATTTTAAACAAATTGGTCAGAGCATACCTCACACTGTCATTTGAATATTTCCAAAGTGGTGAAAGAATGACCCATGAAAATTTATGGGAAAACACTGTGGGCAGTAACACAGGTCCTAAAGTAGAAATATGCTAGTCACACTGGAGGAACAGCAGAGATAGCCAGTGTGGGCAAGGCAGCAAAGAAGAGTTAAGTTGAACTGAATCAGGTTGGAGTGCAAGTAATTTAGGGCTTTGCAGACCATTTTAAGGTCTCTTTTTCTTAGGAAGCCATTTATAAAGGCCCTTTTAAATAACCACTCTAGCTTATTGAACCAGAGAATTAAAATAAGGGAAAACAAAGACCATGGTAATCACTGAAATTATTTAGGCACGCCATTAAGCGTCTCAGACTAATAGAGATGGTGAGATTTTAAATGGATCAAGATTAGATGAGTCTAAGTAGGGTCTTGGCTAAGATAACTAGAAGCGTGGAATTGCCAATGATAGGGCTTGCTGTGATTTGAGTGTTTCCCAAAAGCCCATGTATTCCCAGACTAAAGGCTTGGTCCAGGGTGGTGCTATTGGATGGTAGAACCTTTAGGAGGTGGGAACTAGTGAGAGGTTCTTAGGTCACTGGGGGTGTGGTCCAAGGGGACTTGGACCCTAGCCAGTTGTCTTTTTCCTTGGCTTCCTGGCCTGTATAAGTGGTTTTGCTCTACCATGTACTTCCATAATGATGCACTGCCTTACCACAGGCCTAAAGCAATGAGACCAGTTTATCAGACTAAAACACCTAACATGGTGAGTCAAAAATGAACTTTGTGTAAATTCATTATCTAAGGTATTTTGTTACAGACAGTAAAGTTCTCTAACATGGATATTTCATTATATTGACAAAGCTAACTAATACTGGGATGATTGGGAGGAAACAATCAAAAGTAAGGAGTTTAGTTTTAGCCATAAATTTTGAGATGTCTATCAGCTATTCACAAAGGTATGAATACAGGCTGCTCTCATGATAAAAATGAGATCATTAAAGTAAGTATGAAAAGGTGAGGCAAGGAGCCAAAGGTAAAGCTCTGGGACATGCCCTATGTTTTATTAAAGTTCAAGGAAATAAAGATTGGTCTAACAGGAAGGGAAGACTGAACAGCAGCCAGTAAAAGATAAGCCACCTGAAGAGTTTCCAAGTCAAAGGCTGTTTCTGGTTAAAATTAACAATTTAGAAATCTTTGGTGACATTAGTAAGAGTAGTAGAACAATCAAAGTCCAGTAGGCATCACCTATCAGAAGACCTAATCACATGTCCAAACTTAACAATCCTGGGAAAACCATAAATGGTATGTGACATGGAGACCACTAGCATCACTTTGAATTTTGTATTCTCTAAAAGTTTAATCTGAAAATTAAGCCGTTAGACCTCACTTCTAGTTCATAGGAAGTTCAAAATGATAGCAAAGAAATGTTCAACCAGACAAATGGGAAAATATAAGTACAGATGATGTTAAAAGGGAAATATTTTTCAGACGATGTTAAATTAGGGAAGTATTTTTAAGTGGGATAATGGTATTGAGCTTATCAAGTATATAATTCTTAGGAGATACATGTTTAATAACTGTTCAGTTTAAGTGGATCACTTATCAAGTATATAATTCTTAGGAGATACATGTTTAATAACTGTTCAGTTTAAGTGGATCATTAGGAAGACTCTTCCAACTTTTCCATATATGAATTTTTTCCTAAAACAAGTTGGTGGAATATTTGGGGTATATGATTAAAAGATGTTTAGAAAATTCTTGTAAATTCTTGTAAAAGGGTAGTTGTAAAGTAAGAGTAATAGTTGAAGGAGGGACATAGAATCAAATTTTAGATTTTTTTACCATACTCAAGATTGAACCTGGGGCTTCACCATGTTAAGCAAGCACTTCACTATTGATCTACATCCCAAACTCCTTCCCCTAAAATTACCCAAGGTGGCCTTGAACTTATGATACTCCTACCTCAGCTTCTGCCAGGCCTGGCCACAAAAGGTTTTAGTAACACATTCATTGTGCGTGTAGGGATGGTAAAGTAGAAGAAAAAAAAAAGGAAAGGACGCTGGACAGACTGCTGGAACAAATAAGAGTGAAGAACAGATAAGGACAGAATTCTGTGCTAGCAGAATATTCGTTTAACAGTAATTAAGGAAGCAACCAGAGACAAAGTCAGCTGTTTCCAAACCCTAATTGCGTAGATCACCTAGGAGCATATTATATAGTTAAGTCTTCCTTGTGCCCCCACCCCAATCATCTAAAGCAGTTTCTAGGGGTGGAGCCTAAAAATCTTTTAATTCTCTAATATTGCTTAGTCTGTTTAGAAATAATTTTCTTCAGGGGCATATCAGTCTCTTGATATTTTAAACCTCCTGTTTATTTTACATCACTTAACTTTTCCTCAGCAGTACACAGAATTGTACCTAACTACACATACCCTTGTTAATCCAAGATTTACTGAACAAACTACAATTAATTATACCACATCAGAACTGCCTTTTACTAAAAATTAAGATGACTGTCAGTAACTGATTTCTGTGGATATCTATTAACAGCAATTCTGGGAATTGTTGGGAATTTAGAATCCCTATGTAGCAAATACAATCTTTGTACAGATAGCATATATGGTTGGTATTTAGAACAGTTACCAAGTCCATCTAATTGTAGAACAATCTAGGAAATGTGAACATTTATTTTCTGGAATTATCTGACACTGCTTTAAAAAAAAAAGGGCTTTCTGATGAAGTGCCTAAGAATCTACAAAGGAAAGGAAATTCATTTTTTGATTAAAGTTGTTTCTAAAAACCCTGTTACTTACTGCTCCATTTAGCTTCCCATCACTCATTCTTTTAGTGCCTTCCAACTATAAAACCCAGCTCTCACAAATACGCATTTATAGATGTACACATGCTTAACAAGAGTATTTTGTCCTTAACCATAGTTAACAAGAGGAAAACATGTTTATACTTACTCTACTCACAGACCTGTATTTTAACTTACTGCTTGCTTCTCTCAAAAGTGCTATCCCATTAAACTAGTAGTTCTCAACTGGGACCATTTTGACCACTGAGGGACATCTTGGCAATCTGGAGACACTTGGTTGTTACAACTTGTGGGGAGAGGAAGAACTGGCACATAATGTAAGGACCAGAGATGACACTAAACACCCTATAACACACAGATGCAGCCTCCACAACAATGAATGATCCAGCCCAAAGTGCTAATAGTGCTCAGAGTGAGAATCTCTGTACAAAAATATTAAAAGTAGGTAGATACCTTATGGCCACCTTGTGCAATAACCAGTGTTCCTCACCTAAGGTACACAGGAATTAACCTGGCAATCTTGTGAAAATCCCTCACCACTTTGCGAGCTTTTTTTAAATAAAAAATTGGTGAAATACAACCAAAGCTGAAAAAAATGCTTCTTTACTTTCTTCAACTAATTGTAATCAGTTATGATTGTGTATGTCCTGTTACATTTAGGATGTACGTAGTGAGGGAAATAGGCTATTAGAATCCCACTGGAGCTTTTTTTTTTTCCTCTATTATAAGAAAACTGGAAGCCATGCATAGAAAATGCATCAAATTTGCTGAATCATGCTTTCATCAATCAAGTCCCATTAAAAAAGGATTCTACTGATGCCTTTCAAGTAAAATTCCCACAGCTGTTGGAACTATTATGTAACATACTATTGTGTAGTAAAAAAACCATCTGAATCAGACCTCAGTTTGCAAGTAGCACTCAAGTCTTTAAAATCTTACCAGAAAATTAACTTCATTAATTCCTGAAAAATGCTTACATTTAAAACACTGGCTTTTATTCAAATACTACTCATCTGTAACATTTAAAAAACAAGCAGAATAGAAGTAAATGTTTTATTCTTCCAACTAAATTCCAGTACTACAAGGGCAGTAAAACAATGATACACTGGAAAAAATGCAGCAATAAACATTTGTTAAAAAGACCGATAGAATAAATAAAACTACCAAAAAATCATATAAACCCATTCTGAAACCCCAAGAAGTCCTGGAATATAGAAATGCCCTCCTCTTTCACTATTTCACAGGAAGCACTGTAGGCTATTTGCTTAATATGGTCCTGGGATTACATTCTAAATTATTAATAACTGGTTACAGTTTGGTGGTAGTGCACAATTAAAATCACA